CAAAACCCCACAAATAATGATATAAGCTACAAGGCTTCTGCAGGACACTCAAAGGGGTTCTCAATAATTGTGCTGGTTTTAAAGAGCCCTCCTGCACCACCAGGATTGCTGAAAAGGCCAGCAGTATCAGAACACACCATGTTCCATATACCCTCCTCCTCTGTGCCCTGTCATTCTCCGCTTTCCCTAAGGACAGGCTGCCTTCTTAGCTCCTCATGCCACTGCACACTCTGCAAAGTACAATGGAAAACCAAAACCCTCTCCTGGCTGTCTATGGACCCAGCATACATCTAGATTCTGACACACCACCACAGACCTCTGTCACTTTGGCTATAAACTGACACACAGCATAGCCCAGGGCCTTTCCAAGCCCTGGAAAAACATCTTTAAATATCTGTCTGTACTTTTGCTGTATTCTTGTGTGTTCTCAAGCGTGAGCATAGAAACCTTCCCAAAATGCCAATGAAAACAAAGAGGCCACAAGACTGACATGACCAACATTAGCTTCCTTGACCAATACTTGGCAGCTTCTGCAGCACTTTTACTTACATGTCAAGACAAGACAGCCCAGCTTGTACTGCCATCTTCAAAATGCTCTTGAGAACAACAGAAATGGCCCCAAGGCAACCGGTCCCATTTGCTGAGCATCCAGGCATGACAGTGAGGGAAACCAGCACAGAACAGGCTGGTGCTGGGGCAAACTCTGGATGCTGCACACCTAAATGCTGACCAGAGCCTGTCAGACACAGCAAGCAGTGGGTATTTTATCCTATTTACCTTACAGCTGAAAACAAGCTTAGGACAAACCAAAATGGAGCTGCACTCAGAGACTGCAGGTTCACTAATAAATGTGAAAGAAATTGTCACCTGAGGCATGAACTGTGCTTCTCTAACTCCTGTCTGCTTGTACCTGGCTCTGTGTAGCCACTACAGCAGTCAGGAAATATCAGAGAACACAAAGACACATTCCCTTTCCTGAGGAAAATCCAGATGTTCACCCTGCCTCGGACACTAAGTTTCCCTATGCAGCAAAAAGATGAAGCAGACAGATTTGCATGGAAGATGATCCTGATTTCTCTGCATCAGGAACTCTGAAAGCAAGACAAACATTATTATAAAATACCTTAGTAATTAAAAACCCTCTTAAAATCTTCAAGGCCATGTTGGATGGGGCTTTGAACAACCTGGTCTAGTGGTAGGTGTCCCCGTCCACGGCAGATGGGTTCGACGATCAAGATTTTGAAGGTCCCTTCCAACCCAAATCATTCTATGATACCAAGCACACACTGTCCAAATCTGAAATTTCTATACTTATCTTTGCTATTTCCATAATACAGGGAAACCAAGTTTGATAAAGAGGGCAGAAAGCCCAAATGCAACTTCAATAATTAAAGCACCCAGAGAACAAGAGACAGTGATAGGAAAAACAAAACAAACAAGCCCAAAAACTCTTTCAAACACAATGCTTTGAAAATGGATGCAAAAACCACTTAATAGGCAATTAAAAAAGAGGTTCAGAGAATGACATAATATAAAAAGTGAATTATTTTGATATGGTACTTTCTAGTGTTACAAGTAAATGTGGATGCTTTTATTGAATAAGCTTTGTGCTACTAAAAATACACCCTTCTAATGGAAAAGGTACTGTATGGTTTAATTGAAATCAAATGGCTGTTCTAAGTGTAAGAAAACATAAAGCCTGCTCATCAAAATGTGAGATGCTTACATACTGCCAACAAACATTTCATGTTTCCTGCTGCAGCAATAATTAAGTAGGTGCTTGGGTGACAAAATCAGCCCACATCACCCAAATGAACTGTAAGTACTGCTTTTTTATTTGAATATTTATCTTGTGGCTCACCTACCACTTCAGCCTTTCACCACTAGTTAGGAACTTCCCTTTCCTCTCTGAAAATCAGATACGAACAAAGATACTGACTGTTTGCACTTCGACACAAACATTGAAGACTTCCTCGGAAGCTTAAGTTTTAAGCTACAAACATATCCCTGAATTTGGATTAATTCTGTGGACAGGCACTTTAAACAGTTTGTATAGACCTGCCATTTGATGGGAAACGTAAATATGACTGACTGAATAAAAACTAAAATATGACTGACTGAATGAAAACTAAATAGGCCAGATACCCAAAATCAGTATTTTGTATTCAGTTCTTCATGTAGGGTTTTATTCTGACAATACATATCATCATGTACTCCGAGTCAATAAATAGTCTCAATTATTTTTTCCTACACTTCCTCTACCCATAAGGAACCATACTGAAGTCAGCAAGACTCAGCATAGATGCCAGAATTACTCATATAAAATTGACTGAAAAATAGAATCAGGGCCTAAGGACCCTAACTTAGTCAGGAGAAGAACCAAAAGTCATTGGCAAAGTAACATCTGAAAGGAGATCAAGTGAGCAGTTAGGTTAGTGGGTTTCTGGTTTCTTGCCTTAAACCAGTAACTGATTTATTACTGCCAGGACATATATATTTTTCTTGGCATACTACTACTACTACAAAAAAAAAAAGCAGTACTAAAAAAATTAAAAATAAGTTAAGCTCCAATATAATATTTTATCTAGAGTGTTTTAATGAAAGGCAGAATGTAAATTGAAACCTCCAATATACAGTTTTAAAGGTTAATTCATGTCATACAGACACATCAGTGCTGGCTACAAAAACATCCAAGAAGTGTCACCTATCCCTTCTTACCACCACTACTCCCTTCTCACCATTTATTAGCAAATCAACACTATTTCAAAGAGACAATCATTCTGTTATTGCTCTGATTGTCTTCTGTATTTTTTTTCCAGCTGGGAAAAAATAAGTCCATCATTCAAAGGGTTGCTGCTTCAACCCTTTATTTCAGGTTTCTGTCTAACCAAGGAACAGAGAAGCCCACACAATTTATAACTGTACCACGCCAAGTAAGCACTTTAAGCGTAATTTGCCCAGCTAGGAATTTAAAAGCATTAAGTCTTGTAACTTGTTTTATTAATAAACAATACTAGCAATAACAACTGGACATTCTTGTAACTATGATTTAAAGACGTCATTCCTTCCCTTCAGCAAAAACAGATGTTTTGTATAGGTCAAGTGACAGAAGACAAAGTGACACCCACAAAGTAAAGTCTACTCAAGCATTCATCACAGCAGAGATTAAAGTGGTAAATACACTGTACAGGTACCACAGACAGAACTACAGAAGTCCAAAAGTTCAACCCACCCTTGCTATGGCCAGATATGCCCAAAAGACCTACCAGGCTCATTACACCTGATTAATATATGGCTATATGACTGTAGAATTAATGATGCAGTCATCAGAAAAAAACACCTGCTGTCCACATGACATTACAGTATTACTTGTAATTTCATTTGGTCAATTACTTACTAATTGACCAATTACAGCATCCCTCTGAGAATGATCCAGATTTCTCTCACTCTTTTGTCACACAAGAAATAATAGCAGTAATAACAAAAGAAGTGTTGCATTAACTGAAAAGCAAAATTGGGATGGGATAATGCACCCATAAACCACCTCCTGGCACAGGAAAATCTCAGGAAAAGTTGACCACAATGATCTTCTGGGGACCCTTTCAACCTTGGCTATTTTATGATTCTAACTTAGTTCAATTGTGACACTCTACATCCATTAAACTTACCTTCAACTACAGATATCAAACATCTATCTGCTCCCCTCTGTTCTGACTAAGTGTAGCCCAACAACAGGAGGCATCACAGGGATCCAAGCTAACTTTCACAGTGGGTAGGCTGGGCTGCCTTAGCGTGCTCCAGACTTTTTCGGGGACGTATTTCACTCCTCAAGCTCCTCCAAGGATGGAGGCCAAGTAATTATGCAGCCTCTTCCTACATAAAGGTTTGTCTTCTGCAAGGTTGGGTCACCTTGCACACCCAAGAACATCAACCAACTCTGGATTCAGCACATTCCTTTGCGCTCCATCAGGTCCAGTTACTGCCAGGTACTGTTTGTTCTGATGAACAGTGTTGACCTGCTTGTTCTCTAGTCTTGTTCTCAGCCCAGATCGGGCATTGCTTTTGGAAAAGCACAGATACACTGTCCAAAAGCACTGGGTGACCCCAATTTCAGTCTGCTCAAAGTCATCCCCAAGCACAGTTGTTAAACTTGAAACATTAGAGGACATTCTACCTCTCCAGATGCTGTGAGAGGAAGCCATTACCCTTACTCCCGTTTCGTGTTATTTCTGAGCCCTTTAAAAATAGATATCGAGGAAAAAAAATCCTGTAGCTACACCACAATTGGAGATTTTTTCTTGTCTGTTGAAAACAGGCCCTCCAACACTCTGGAACAGAACCAGGCACCTGCCTGCAGCTCCCCAGCAAAGTCATTTATTTCACTTTAACATCCTACTTCTCCCCCTCCTCACGTATCTTTCCCGCACCGCAGGCAGCCCGACTTGGTGACTCCCTGGTTTATCCCAGGAACACCGGGGGTGCCGGGCCCTCGTCACTGACCCAACTGCACTCCTTTGGGCGCTGATGCTTGGCTGAGAAACAACAGAACAAACCCTTCCCTGCTTCACGCCTGGATTGGTGCGGCGCCCTTCGCAGCCGGACAAAAAGGGCAGCACCGGCGGGCCGGGCCCCGGGGCCGCTCCCCGCAGGAGACGAGCCAGCCGCCGCCGCGGCCGCCCCGGGCGGGCAGCGCTCCCGGGCCTCACTGGATTTTGATCCCGAGCAGCCACGTCCGCGCGGTGACAAAGCCCGGCCTAACCGCTGCTGTCACCTCCTCACCCCTCCCAGCCCATCCTCCCGAGCCGGAAGCCGCGACCGCCCAGCGGCCGCAGCGCGGACCCCCCCGGCCACATCCCGCCGGCAGAAGCGCAGCGAGCCCCGCCGCGCCACCTCCCCTCTCTAGCCCAGCCCAGCCCAGCCGAGCTGGCGGCAGGAGCGGCGGGACGAGGCAGAGCCCGCGGCGGCGGGCGGGCCCCGAGCGCAGCGCGGCGGGCACGCACCGTGTAGAGCAGGTTGAGGATGCACAGGCAGTTCTTGGAGCAGGCGAAGCCCCCACACGCCATCGCTCCGCCGCCACCGCCGCCCCGCGCGGCCGCCGCTCCGCCAGGAGGCCGCGGCCCCGCCCCCGGCCGCGCGCGGGTGCGGCCGCAGCAGGTGAGCGGCGCCCGCTGATTGGCCGCCGCGGGGCGCAAAGGTAAATGTATGCAAATGAGGGCTGTGACGTCGGCGCCGTCACCCGCTATCCGGCGGCTCGCGCCGCGCGGGCGGGGCCCGTTGCTCCGTCCCTGGGCCCCGTTCCCGTGACGACAGCGGCCCCGGTCCTCTGTTCTCGTAGCCCGTGATGTGACTACACGAGTCCCGCTCCCCTATCCCTGTTCCCCCTTGTTGTGACGACATCAGCCCCGTTCCCCGTTGCTGTGACGACACCAGCCCCATTCCCCGTGGCTGTGACGACACCAGCCCCGGTCCCCGTTCCCCGTTTCCCGCTGCTGTGACGGCAGGAGCCCGGGCCTGGCCCCCGCCCGCCGGAGCCGCCGCGGCCCCGTCCTGTTCCCCTCACGAGCGGCGGCGCCTCGCCGGTGGCGGCGCGCCCCTATAGTCCATGGCCTGTGTGATGCCAAGGAAAACATGCGGGGATTTACCTGTACAGACCGTGAAAGTGTTCGGAGTGCTGGTAGTTCTGCCAGCATTTCATAAAATCATCAAGGCTGGAAAGGGCCATCAAGTCCAACCGTCAAGTCAGCACTGCTGCTGTCATCTTATTTCTGTTTTAACATATTCTATTTATCTATTTAGTTATTTTTACTAAGTCATCTTTCTACTGCACCTCCTTACATACTTGTATATTTCCTTAGTTTGAGGGTTAAATATTTTCAATTACGTTCATTCTACTTTACAAAGCCTTCCACCTGTACTGATATTTTCCTGTTATTCAGTAGCTAGATTTTGTTAAATGTTGGTGCTTGGCTTCAATGGTGTCCTGGTTCACTCCAGCCACCCAAAATCCTGTCTTCACAGTCCTTGTGGGCTGCAGCCTGCTTTATAATAAATACAACAGATCTGATATCTGCCAGCTCTTCCAGTGTGGACATGTGTTGCAGGATTAGTGTCCAACATAGCTTCTTGTCTTTTTTGCTGGGCTTTACAAAGAGACAAGGACATCTTGTTCCTCCCTTGGGATGTCCATAAGGGTACATGGCACAGCAGTTTTACTTTATCAGGTTTTGGTGCCACAGAACTTGTGATGGTCAGTTCCTAGTAAGCAAAGGAAGCTGCATCTACTTTCTGATGAATTCACGGCAATTCTTAGTAGGAACTTGTCATCAAAACAGTTCAGGGACGAAATTCCAAAAGTGGGGGTTTTTTCTGTAATTTGGCTGCCCTTCATCTGCTAAGGAAGCCCCAGCAGGCAAATAATCCTTGCCAGCAGTGAGACATTGAACAGCAGCACACTTTGTCTTTCCTAGTCTATTGCTCAGATCTTTTATTTTGAGTTTTAAACATCTTTTTTTATATGCTCTTTGGTATTTTGCTAGACTTCTCCAATTAAATACGATACGCATTTTTTTTCTCATGCAGTAACAAAGACTTGTTGCTTTTCTATTCATATAGATCTACCTTTCAGCTGCTAGATGGACATCAAATTCAAATTCTGCAATATTTGTGACCACAAATTAAACCTGAATGCTCAACAGCTGCTGGAGCTTTATCTTTCTTTGGTTCTAAACTTGACATCCCTGCTGAAGCTTTGTGAAGTGACAGGAAGCGTTAAAAATCTGTGGAGATTTTTTTTCTCTGATAATTAAACTGACTTAATGTTGTGGCTAATTTGGCCTATTGGGGATGCATATTTACTGACTGGAGCTACTGGATTACTGGGCCATGCTTCTGATCCTTTGGGCCCAACTCTGGCAGAGCATAAACCCAGTGTAAAAATCACTTGTTACAGTGTAACTTTACTAGCAGCTTTACCAACCAGTAAAGACTGGTTTCAGAAATTGTCCACGTGATAGAAAAGTGTATTTTGGATGTATGCCCTTTCCTGAACACAAGCAGCCATCAGCATATCAAATGTTTTTGTTGGATTTTGTTGCAAATGCTAACATCTAAAGTTACTGTGCCATTGTTGCTTTGGTTATAGTGCTGAATTATTCAGTACCATCATCCACTGCTCTTAATTTTAGAAGATCTCTTACACTATTAATTATTAAAAGCTGTGCCTCCACTTTCTTAATTAATGCAGGTGTTTCTTTTTAAAGGACCCAGCTCCTGCAGCCTGTCATGGGTGGGAGGAACTTTTGCATGTTCCCTGCTTCGTGTTCAGGTAGGCATCTAACCATGTGTGATGCAACGTGTTCATACCCACCTCTGACCATAGACTCTGGGGCACAGTTCAGCTGATGTAAGCACTCAAAGGCTCCAATTAAGAGATAAAATAAATCTCTTAAATAGATCTATGACAAATGTAGCAGGGGTCCTTCCTCCATCCCTCTTCCAATTTTGTTCACAGGCTATAGTACAAACTTGGACTAATATGGTTTGGATTTAAAATAACACTCCTGGTGATACAGTAGCTGGCTGTGCTGATGTCTGTAATTTCTGATGGTGGTCAGCAGTGTGTCTGTGCTCCCATTTCACATCAGGCTTCAGCACTCAGCTTGTATTCTGGCTAGAACTAAATTGGCTCAATTCTCTTAAATGGCTAATTATGACTTGCTAGCTGTGAAAAGACTCTCCTGCAGTTGGAGGGAAATCTGTCATTTTTTGTTGGGAAAATATAGATAGCAACACTTTGATATTTTTGAAGCTTGTTTAAGTACCTGGTCCAAGTGAGGATTCTAGGTATTTGTCTTCTCTGCCCTTGTCTTTACAGGGGATAAATTCTGCACTCCCATCTGTTACACAAATCTTGAGCTGTCTGACATAACCAAGAGCAGAATTTGCCTTTTCCTTTTCTTTCCTCACTATTTTGTCTTTCTGGTGCTTATTCTCCGCTTCCTTGCACAGTCTTTGTTCTCCTGCCCTTCTATGGTGTGTTTCAATGGCAGTGCTGGCAGCAGGAGGAGCTACAAACAGCGTGGATTAGTTTTTCTTTCATGGGAAAATGCAGTGGGGAGAGACTACACTGGGCACTTGCAATGCTGCTGACGTGCACTTACAAGACAGTACAAACAGTAAATGCTTCTGCAAAGGGAGAGGGGAGTGGAAACAACTGAATTACTGAGGCTCAATGCTGGTACACTTCTTACTAGTCCAAAAAGCTTAAACTGAAGTTGTTTGGGTGGTTGGTTTACTCTTCATTTCCCAGTAAACTCACATCAGCTGGATTGTTTTCTGGAGGATTGCTGCATGAAGCCTTTTACTGTAACACACTAAATGAAAACTCAGCCTATACCCAAATCTATTCTGTGTCTGTAGGCTGTGGATCATGTGGTACTGCTGGTTTCTATTTCTAACAGGCACACCTATTATGTGCCTGAAATCTAAAGGCCTGTGCCACTTCTGAGGCACAAATTTGAGAAGAGAAGGCTCAAGTATATACAAAGTACTCCTAAAGTGTATGCTATTGTCTTAAAATCAAGGCAGTGTGACCTTTTTGGTTACTCTCTACTATTATGGAGTGTCTTAAATGTTGTGAGTGAAGCATTGTTTGCAGAAATTGATTTTTATCACTTTATTTTTCCCAGGTTTTCAATAAGTTGTTGACAGCATTTTAGGTATTTCATTTCACTCTTTGTCTTGTAAAGTCATTTTTCTTCCCTTCATTTGTATAAAGTCTCTCATGCACATCAAAATCAGGGAGGGGGAAAATAGGGTTTAAGAAAGCCAGGTGTTTCCAGGAGTATATTTATTGTGTACAGTTGACATATTTAGATGTTAGTCTTGAGGTGAATAGTGTACACGCACAACAAGACAGGGTTTCAGCTGGCTTTACTTGGAATAAATAAAGTGCTTTTCCTGCCTTGGCAGCTGACCATTAAAGCATGTTCCCGTGCCAGTCATGCATGCCTGAAGTTTGGTCATGACCATAGAATCTGTCAAAAATGGCTGTGGAGTAAAATGCTGCTTATCATCACCCGTTTTTCTCTGTGGATGTAGAATTTCCAGTGTCCAGTCATTTCTTGTGTCACTGGGCAGGAAAATCTGAGTCATCTCAGTCACCTGAACTGCCTCAGTTATTGAGTCATGTCAGTTAGTCACCTTAGCTGTAACCTATGACTGAACATATGGAATCAATTAAACATACATTTAAAATGTTATCTGCTATAACAATCAAGATTATTTTTTCTCAAATTCAACGCAAATGTCCTGTGGACATACCCCAGTTATTTCCTGAGGTGTTAGTAATGAATTGGCTGTGCTGTGGTGTTTGCTTGCAGTCATGAAATTCTCCCTGCTTCCTGGAACAAAACCAGTTCCCAGCAGTGCTACTACACTTGTGCCATTCCATCAGCAGCCTTGAAGAAGCCCTTTCTGGCACCAGGCAGTGAGGAGCAGCGTGAGTAGGCATAGCTGTTGCAGGGATCTCTGCTGTCTTACAGGTTGACACACAAGGTGTTGTGGTGCTTGTCAATGATCATTACGAGCCAGACACGGTGGAGAGGCGAGCCTGGCATACAGAATAAATTTGTCTGTGTTCTTTGGAATCTTCTCTGCAGAGAAAAATTGTACAAAACTGTTTGGCATTTTAATTTATTTCTTTAGTGAAGTGGAGCATTGTAGATTGAGAAAGGGAAATTAGGACAGGAAAATAGGCCATTTAAGTAGTGTGGCTAGAGAAACCCACAACTAGGTCAGAAATTAGCTCCTCCAAAAGCACAAAGACATAGCTCCTGTTCAGTTTAATAAATCTAACAAGTGGTTACGAAGGAAGTAATGGTTTGTTCATCTTTGCTCTTGGAGAGACAGATAATGAGTGTATTCTTTGACAAACTTCTGAGCAAAATCCAAATGGCATAAACCTCTTGGATCGAGCCTAAAAGTTAAATTGCTATTAGGAAACTACCTAGAAGGGAGACTTACTCAAGCAGAAGCAGCTACAGGCAAGTGCAAAACTGTTGTCCTGGATGCCCAGCTTTGCTTTTTGAGCCATTCTTTACCATTCCCA